GACTCCACAGCTTGCCACAGTTTGCCTTGGGTGCTGCACGTGGAATTGCAGGATTTAACGCTTGCCCTGCTGAATTTTGGACTTGCTTTGGTCCCAATTGTTTGTATCCCTGATTGTACCTTTTGGAATGGTAATGTTTATTTTGTGCCATTGAATGTTGGACATATTTAGCTTCATTTGTACGGGGACTTCATTTGTATAGCTACGAGTTTGCCTTAAATCTCAGAGGAGCCTTGTGATGTGCACTTTTTAGCAACGTTGAAACTGCTAAGAATTTGGCAACTTGGAGATGGACTAAATTCCTTTTGCATAAAGAAATGTATGTGAGTCTTTGGGGAGCCAGGGACGGAATATTATTTTTTGTCTGGATGACTCCCCAAAGTCTCATGAGTGTGTGTGGTGGTGGTGGGGCTTTTTGGAGGCAGCTGACTCTAGAGTTTGTGATTGGTTCCTTGTCTAGTTCTGGAATTGGGGTGAGTGTCCCACCTGCCCTAGCGCAGGTAGCCTGCATACAGTATAAGAGAGAAAAAGAGGCTTGCTCGCCTTCTCTTACGGTTTTTGCTGCGTTCCACGGCTGTGACTGGTTGCCCATCTGCTGTGTGCCTCCTAGCCTTGGGACCAGCTGATATGGACTGAAAACTCTACAAACTGAGCTAAACCAACCTTTCCCTCTCTCTGTTTCTCTGTTTTGTGGAGGTAGTATTTCACTGTGTTCATTTCTCTTGATATCTGTCTAGAATTAAATTTTGATTTTAAAAAGCCAGCCAGGGCTGGGGAGATAGCTTGGTAGAATAAGTGCTTGCCTGGCAAGCGCAAGGGCCTGAGGTCAATCCCTGGTTCAAAAAAAAAAAAAAAAAAAAAAAAAGCCAGCCAAGTTAGTGGATTAGAGAGGACTAGAAAAAGATAAAGTAGAGGAGCACAGCAAATATGTATCAGAAGTAAGAGAAAGTTTGCTCTAAACGGTATGGCAGAGTAGAAAAGGAGACAAAATATTCCCTTCTTAGCCTGCCTGGTTCTGACTTCTTTAAAAACAGAAATCAGGGCGGGCAAGATAGCTCAGCAGACAGGGACTGGGATTCTATCTCCAGCACCACATGCCTTGCTGGTCCCACCCCCAGGCTCTCTGAGCTGGCCACCAAGACCAGGCGTGGTGGCGCATGCCTGTAATCCCAGCATTGGGGAGGCTGAAAACAGGAGGCTCACCACGAGTCCGAGCTGCGTAGTGAGACCCTGTACCAAATACATATAGATAAATAAATAAATCAGAAACCAGGGCCCTTCAAGAATTGCTAGATGTGCCAGGCATGGCAGTGCACACCTCTAATCCCAGCATTCTGGAGAACCCCAGGATAATTCTGCTTGTGGAGGCAGGAGGATTAGGATCTTGAACCTAGCCTGAGCCATTTAGCAATTTAGTAAAACCATATCTCAGAATTTTAAAGGGGGGAGGGGTCTGAGGCTGTAGCTCAGTGCAAAGATCCTGGATGCCTCCCCAAGTACTAGGGGGAGAATAAAAGGCCAAACTTCCAGTTTGGAAAGACCAACTTTGCATTAATGCTGGTCTCTCACACTTTGCCATAGTCCTCACTTGCATCCCATTTGTTGACACAGAGGCACAAGAGCAGGTGTTGCCCAGATTTCACGGCATCCACACTAGACCCTGGAGTTTACTGGGGTCTTACGAAGTATAGGAATGAGTTATCCAAGAGGGCAGAGATTAAAAAAAAAAAAAAAATGCTCTGTAGGTTACACAGAGCCAGCAACACATGGGCAATTCCTGGCCGTCTGGAGTTCCTGTTTCTTCCCTGCTTCTAGAGGAGGGGTCAGAACGTCCTGCTCCCCTTGGCCCGCTGGAGGCTGCAGCTGCTACAGCCCGGCCCTGGCCTGAGCTAGAACACTCAGACCTACTCTTTCTTTTCTCTCAGACCTTTCTCTGACATGGGAACCACAAAGTTGGATTTTTATTTTTGGTGGGGTTTTTTTTGCATTAAAATTTTTTTATTGGTACATTTTAGACATATATAATGATCACATTCATCATAGAGAATTTGCACCTCTATGTGACATCTCTTAATCCTTTTTCCTACCCCAGCCCTCCCTTCTTCAGCCCATCTTCTTCCTAGGTCCCTCCTCTCCCTTCTAGGGGCCAGGCCCTGGGACTTTTTATTTCTCTTGAGGTTGTGGTCATTCACAGCTTCATGGCCAAAGCCCATCCTGGGTTCGTAGTCTGCTGTTTGCTCAGTCTCTGAGGTGTGCACCTCCGGTGTCTTCCTTGCCCCTAAGTGAATAACTCAGTTTGCCAGAAAGAGGTTATTTTATACCACAGAGCAACAGACCCACCTTCTAGAACTTGCGCTCGAAGGCCAGACCTGAGATTCTGTCCAGATGCAGTTCTGGCCATGTCTGGAGTTTTTTCTACACTTGGCCCTCAGAGCTCTGGGCTCAGGAGCAAGTGGGCATGATGAGAGCAGACCACGCCACAGGGCCCTGGGGACTTAGGAATTTGTAATGAATTTGTCAGACCAGAGCAGGATTTTTCTAATGTTGAGACTTAGTACCACTCAGGGCTGGTTCCAGAGATCAAGCCAGGCCAAGACTCCCCCCCAGCTGCCTCCTCTTTCCCACTACTTCCTCCCTAGGATTCTGTATGCAGAGCTACTGGGCCTGTTGGTGGCTCTCCGGAGCATCGACAGCACAGGCTGGCCCCAAGCCAGAGCATCCAGGGACTGCCTGCAATGATACCCATGCTCCAGGAGACCTGCAGCGCAGGCTGTGCTCACCTCCTGCCACAGCCCTCGTGGATCACAGACTGGAAAGGGAAATCATGGAGACAGGAGACTGGGACTTAGAGGATGAGAGCTCAGTGGTGACAGAGAAAGACAAAGATAGAAACTGCCTCTTTGTGTGGTTGTGGGGTGACCATGGGGCCAAAGTTGATCTCTGGAAGTACAGAATATGGAGAAGGAGGAAGCCTTGGGGAAAAGAGGTAATGCTTCTCCTGGGGATGGGAGTGCGCTTTCTGAGGGTCCAGTGGGTCCCTTGCAGCCCCCTCTGCCCTGAAGAGAAAGGTGCTAGTAGATGCTTTAGCCCACAGGAAGATAAAGCCATGAGGAGGAAAATCTAGCCAGACACACCCCTTCATCCTCCTCCCTTTCCCCAGAGCCACAAGCCTGAAGAGGGGGAGAGGGGTCAGGTGGCAGAAGTGGGAGCTTCAAATGACTGCCTCATCAGCTGATCCTGTGGAGACCATACCGTGGCCCTGTCCCCCACTCTGCTTCAGAAACCTGAAGGTCATCCAGTAAGGTGCTTCTGGAGAGGAACCTAGCGTCAGAGATTTGAACTACTGTAGACCTGGCCTGGAGACCACCTCAGACGAGACAGTAGAATCTGTTAGCTGGGACTGTGGAGGCCTCTGGTGGCCAGGGTGGCAGTTCTTTCCAGCCCAGCAGCTCCTCCCCGGTTCCTGTCCAGCAGCCTCTGAGCACCCTGCTGGCCTGGGGCAGGGTCAGGTGGTAGCCAGAGGAGGTTGTGTCTTACAGCCTTGCCCCTACCCAAAACCTGTTGCCTGAGGTAGCAACGTGCACGTTTCCTGCCTGATCCCACATTCTGTGTAGCTACCCAGTGTACAACGCACCCTTCCCAGCCAGGTTCAGGGTGGCGCCCTCCGCCATTTCCTGGTGGTAGAACAGCTTTCCTCCCAGCACTAGATGATGAGCCAGGCTATGCTTTAAGTGGGCAGCCATGACCATGGATTTCCTGGTTAGGTCAGGATTTCCTCGGGTCAGGGTGGCCTTGAAGTCAGCTGCCCTGCTTGCCACCCTACGACTGAGTCAGGAACTTGTCTCAGAGCCTCTCTGCCAGCAGAAGTGGGACCTGGGCACTGAGGCTGTCACCGCTCTCCATATGCCCTACCTCATGGGACTGAGCAGCCAGCCTGTGGAAGTGGCATTGAAGTGAGAGCCCGGCAGGCCTGGCACTTGTGTGCACAGCGTGAGACTCCTGGAAGTACTGACAGTGAGCGTCTCTCCCTCCGTCTGTTCTAGGAGTCCACCTTTGCGCATGGATTCCGTGCAGCTCACTGAGCTCCCATGAGACAGAGGTTCCCCATATGGGGCTCCAGGCCATTGTGCTCCCCATTTCAGTCCAGAGGAGGGGCAAACAGGGTTTAGCCAGCTGCAGCCAGCACCCCACCCCATTGGTTATCTTGATGGCAGCCACCCCCTTGAGCAAGGTGACAGGCTCAGTGCTCACACTCGGGTGAGAGGCTAGATGTCCAGCACCCTCAGTGGTAGCTAAAGTAGAAGAACAGACAAGACCACCAGTAACTCCTCAGAACAGAATCCTTATTTATACTGATGTTTACAGAGCACAAAGGGGAAAACACACTCCTGTGTGGGAAACAGGAAAACAGGGCAGGAAGAAAACCGAAGAGCGCCAAGCTGTGGGTGTCAGGGTGTTTAGTTTCCAGAAGAAAGTGGGCCAGATCCGGAATCAAATCAGGCTTTCTGCTCTTACGATCTTACTCAACTCTCCTTTCAGCTCCACTTGTTCTGCTGCTTTGGCTCCCACAGGGCTGAAAGCCCTGCGGCCTGGCCCCTAAGGCCACCTTCTCGTCCTCTCCCGGGGACATGCAGTGTGCCATGCCCTGGTACCAAGTGTCCGTGCTTTCTTATGCATTTCCCCTTTGTACTCCGCTTCCACTACACACCACCCTTCTTTCCATAAGAGCATGATTTGAAATCTTAGTGGAAATCATTGACATGGGGGTGGATATTGAGGCAGGGAGGGGAGTGTGGGCACAGACACAGATGGAGCCTGTGGTCGAGGCTGCTTCTGGCCCACAGTGCTTACCTGTGAGTGGATGGTGGAGGCGAGGAGGAGCGTAGAAACATGAGAAGCTTTTGTTCAAAAGCAGAAGTGTCTCTTTAATGCTGACTGTGGGAGTCACCCATGCGGTTGGGTTTCTGTCGGTATCTGACTGAACTTTGCTTTCCCCACAGTACCCACTGGCGTACGGCCTGCTGCTTATCCCCTGCTGGAGTCTGCTGGTGTGCCTGAGCAGGATGTACATGGGCATGCACTCCCTGCTGGTAAGGAGAACGGCAAGCCTTCCTGTGTTGTCTCTGGTTTCCACGGAAAGGTTCTTAATTTAATTGGATTTTTTTTTTGTCTTTTGAGATAGGGTCTTGCTGTGTAGCTCAAGCTGGCCTTGAGCTCACTTTGTAGCCCAGGATGGCCTGGAACTTCCAGTAATCCTTCTGCCTTAGCCTCTTAAGAGCTAGGACTACACACCATACCCAGCTTTTTAATTCTAATTATTTGCAAGTTTATATGAAACCTAAATGAGAAAAATATACCAGTAGTCCGCATGTCTTGCACCTTGGTTTTGCAAAAACACCAGCGTCATAGCTGGTGAAGCAATGAGGCCATCCTTGTGTAGCATGGACTTTATTTCCAGCTGTCATGGAAGCCAAGCTCTGCACAGCACGTGTGTCCCTCTTCTCTTCCACTTCCACTTTCCTTTAGGGCTCTTCTGTGCCGCTCCTACAATGATACAGGAGCCCAGGACAGCTCCAGATCCTAGCTAAGATGTAGAGATGAGAAACATGAGCATAGACTGCCTGGTGCTCTTCCTCCCCATCCCACCCCTGGGCCCTGTGCTGGACTCACTGGAGGTATTTGAGTGCAGTTCAGGTTCGAGAGCAGTGGCACAGGCGCCTGCCACAGCGAGGACTCGGCTGGTGGCTTGGGGTCAACAGAGCCTATGGAGCAGACTCCCGACTACGCAGGGCAGGGCTGGTAATGACCACGCGTAGGACACAGGACATGGCTTTTTGTTAATCATCATAAGATGACATAACAGGAAATACAAAAATATATAGTTTTATCCAATTTATTCAATGCAGGAATCAACTGGCTGCAATGACACCTGCCCGAGCGGTGCTCAGGACGGTCTGTAAGCAAGTACGCTGCCTCAGTGACCCTTGCAAAGTATTGGAATGATGTATTTAGTATAAAAATATTATTTTGTTGTTTTGTTTTGTTTTTTAAACAAGGTCTCACTGTGCATATGCAATTCAAGCTTACCTTGAACTTGTTATATAACCCAAGCTGGACTTGAACTTGCAGAGATTCTCCTGTCTCAGCCTTCTGTGTGCTGGGCTTACAAGTATACACCACCACATCAGGCTAGGAAGTATTACTATTGAAAAAGCTTTTAGTCTTGGTTCAAGAAGTTGTGCATCATCTTTTTTTTTCCGTTAGATTTCTGGTCAGGATGTAATTATATAATCAGTGTGGTCTAAAGAATTTAATTGTCTTAATTCAGCTAGCCAGGCATTTTTTCTGTGTTTGCTGTATGCCATGTTCTGAGGGTGTGCATGTAATTAAGGTGAGGACTTCGCTTTTGAGGAGTCACTGTCTGAATATGTAACATAAATACGCAGTAGAGCAATTCTGCCCTGGGAAAGCACATTAAATTAATTAGGGAGATTTTGAACAGTCCTGACCTCCCCCCCCCCCGCCCCATACACACACCAGAAAAAAAAAAATACACGCATTTTGGATTCAGTTAGATCCACTGCCTGAAGATTGTCTCAGACCTAGGTGTTTTTGTGGTGGCCTCCCGAGTGAATTCACCTGCAGCAGGTGGTGAGCGTCCCGCTTTCTGGGAGAAGTAGATAAGCAAGGACTGGGAGATTGTTGGGGGAGGTCTGTGGAGGGTGCTGTTGGACTCACTGGAGAAAGTTCCTTTGCTGGGCGCTGGGCGCTGGGCGCTGGGTGCTGGGCGCTGGGCGCTGGGCCCAGGGCACCTCGTGCTGCACAGGGGCTCTGCCTCAGAGCTGTGCTCGCAGCCTCAAGAAGTTCCTTACGATGGAATTGAAGGCAGATGTGTGTGGGAGAGGAAGATGCCTGAGTGGAATCTCATAGAATGTATTGCAGGCTTCGCTAAATATAAGCAGGGCAGTAAGTCCCAAGATAAGAGGATACTCTACATTCATGTCAGATCTAGTATTACATGAAGCTCAGTGACCACCTGTCTCAGGTACTCTTCTCTCCTTGCAGGGACAAATACCCGACACTCAAAATGAGGGAAGGAAAGGTTTATTTAGCTCACAGTTACTGGAGGTTTCAGTCCATACTCAGCTGGCTTCAAGGCAGAGAGGCACATGGCAGAGGGCAGCCTTTCATGGCAGCAGTGAAGAGCAGAGAGCAAAATGGAGGAGCAGCAGCAACATTGGCAACAGGCAACAGAGAGAGCAAGTTTGTCTCTCTTAAATTGCATTCAGACTCTGCCCCAGGCTCTGGGAAATACACATACCCATAATCTCAGCAATACTAAGACCCATGGGGCCGGGGAGATGGCTCAGTAGAATAAGCGTTTGCCTGGCAAGCCCAGGTGTCTGAGTTCAATCCCCAGTTCCGCAAAAAAAAAAAAAAAAAAAAATACTAAGACCCATAATCCCAGCCTTGGATCACCCATAATCCCAGTGGATCATGAGTTAATCACAAACTCTAGAAGTCCCCGCCTGATGACTATAAAGCTTGGGGCGGGGGGGAACGAGATGCACACCATAACACCACCAGAAGCCAAAAATAAAATACTTACGTCTAAGAAGCTTGAATGTATAAATGGCATTCATTGCTGTCCTTGGTACCTTCTTAAACATGCTTTTAGCTAATTATGTAATATTTTCCTCACTATTATAAAGAGACTATATAAAAGCACCATAGGCCAGGCATGGTGGCTCATATCTATAATCCCAGCACTTGGGAGGCTGAGACAGGAGGATTGCTGTGAGCTCAAGACCAGCCTGAGCTGCATAGCAGGACCCTGTTTCAAACAACAACAACAAAAAAGAATGCCATAAACTTTTTAATAACATTGTTTCACAGTGTAGAATAAAATAGATATCTGCAAAACATTTTATATAGAAACTAGTTTTGTTAATATTCTTACTTTGGGAAGTGAGGAGTTGAATCCACTTATGTTTATAATATGATATGGTGAAGATCAGAGTACAGACATTCGTTTATGAGTAATTTGGTAAGTTCTCTTAAAATAGCTCAAGTAGCTTTGAAAGGTTGGCTTGTACATTCATTCAAATATTTTATTTTATTATTATTTTTAAACGTATTTGGTACAGGGTCTCACTACACAACTCAGACTTGTAGTAATCCTCCTGTTTTCAGCCTCTCCAGAGTTGGGATTATAGGTGTGCGCCCCCATGCCCAGTCTTGGTGGCCGGCTCAGCACATCCGGGGGCAGGGCCGGCCCAGCATGTAATGCTCGGGATCTGAACCCCAGTCTCTGCACTTGTCTGAGCAGATGCTTAGTCCACTGAGCTATCGCGCCAGCCCTCAACAAATATTTTAGTAGTTACTCAATGCTAATCTGTGAGCAAAAGTAGTCAAGCAGAAGTCTGTTTTCCCCACTGTTTTTAGGCAACTGTTCCGTCTCAGCTCGCAGCATCTATTCTGTTTTCCACAGGACTCTGGCTAGGAGCTGAGTACCATTTAGAACAGTGGTTTCCAGTGCTATTTATTTATTTATTTATTTGTATTTTAGGGAAGGGTCTACAGGGTGTTCAGGGTCTCACTACTAGGTCAGACTCATAGTGATCCGCCTGTTTACAGCCTGCCAAGAGCTGGGATTATAGGCGTGCACCACCACGCCCAGTCTCAGTTGGCATCTCAGCTTGCACTGGGGGCAGGGTCTGCATGGGTTTCCACACTGTTGACTGTGCTGCTCCATTTTTTTTTTTTTCTTTTTTCTTTTTTCTTTTTTTTGGCAGAACCAGGGATTGAACTCAGGCCCTTGTGCTTGCCAGGCAAGCGCTTATTCCACGGAGCTGTCTCCCAGCTGTGCTTCCCCATGACAGCTTTATTGCACGTAGTACTGTGAGGATAGTGGTGGGAGGCCTTCATTTATCCCCCCCCCCCCGCTTCTTTATGGTTCTTAACATTTTTTTTTTTTTGGATACAGGGTCTTGCTATGCCATTCAGACTCGCAGTGATCCTCCTGTCTCAGTCTCCCCAGCACTGGGATTACAGGCCGTGCCACCTTGTCCGGTTTTAGGGCTGACATGTCTTATGGTACCAGGGATCCGACTCAGGTGCGCTTGCCAGGCAGGTGCTTAGGCTGCTGAGCTGTCTCTCTCCCCAGCCCCACATATCCACTTTTATTCAGGGGTGGCCGCCCCTGTGCTGCAAGGCAAAATTCTTTTCCTATTCTTACTTGACCCAAACTTCCTCTGTAGAGCCTTGTTTCTTTTTCCTCCTTTAATGAACTCGCGCTTAACGAATGTGCGTTTTTTTAAAAATAAACTCCTTTAATTTGTTCCTCTTTGCACTTGTGTAGACAAATTTCTTCGCAGAACAGAAGGAACCTAGAAACCGCCTCTAGAAGGGGACTCCACAGCTGGACATGGTGGTACATGCTTGTAATACCAGCACTGGGAGGCTGAGGCAGGAGGATCCTTGTGAATTTGAGACCAATCTGGGCTACAAAGTGAGCTTAAGGCCATCCTGACCTGCGTAGTGAGACTCTGTCTCAAAAAGACAAAACAAAAGCGAAAACAAAATGGAAGGATACCCCAACAGCTCAAAACTTGGTAACAAATTCAAGGCCAGCCTGAATTACCTAGTGAGATCCTGTCCCAAAAATCCTAAGTAAATAAGGAAATAAATAGGGGTCGGGATGTAGCTCAGTGGGAAGCTCCTGGATTCCAGGCCCAAGAAACAAACAAAGCAAATTTACTCAATTGAAAGGACTAGTCTCAAGTCAGCATTGTTTTTTGTTTTGTTTCCGAGGCAGGATCTCACTGTGTATCCCAGACTGGCCGTGAACTGGCAGCCATCCTGCTCAGCCTCCCAAGGGCTGGGATTGCAGGCTTAAGAGTTAAGAACAGAACAAATTCTTCCTCTTCTCCCAAAAGTGAGAGAGCTGAGCTGGGAGGTTGTTGAAACAGGAAGATTGTGCTAACCCAGGAGTTCAAGGCCAGCCTGGGTGACATCACAAGACCTCATCTCAGAACAAAACAAGATAGTAAAAGGAGGAAGTAAAAAAAAAAAAAAAAGAGAGAAATTG